ATGGCTAAATTTCACGACACCAGCAAGTGTACAGAGAAACAGTATGAAGATGGCGTCCCTCATTTTTAATAAATGGGCTAGAAATGTGATAAAGTCTTTATGGCATTTTCAACGACAGCAACGTAAACAAGGCAAAATGAATATAGCTAATAAAATATGTACACATATGAATATGAGTAGCACGAATTCAGCACAAAAAACACGTCTTAACAATTTCAAATAATATCAATTTCAAATATATCTACGACTATACCTAGAAAACAATTCCTCAAAGGGACCGTTATCAGCACTGGCAATGCTTGTACCATCTCGGAAATGGAATAGTGTCTTTGATGTTCGGCACGCCAAGTAGAAACTGCAAGAGCCTCTCAAAGCCTAGCCCAAAACCTCCAGATATCGGCTTGCCACGTTCCCTGAGCTCCGTGTACCTCAAATGGACATGATTATGCAGCCCATTAAAAGAAAACACCAACATCGAATGAGGGTGAATGGTAATGGTCCGGCCAATGTTTGGCTATTGTAGGGTGAGGAAGAAATGTGAGCTAAAGATAGCACCAAAACGTGAAAAGAGTAAGTTAATGCAGACCGCTTGTTTTTGTAGGATAACTGCTGTTTTACGCCGCAATTCGCGTTACGAAAGTTATCACTAGAATGTTGAGTATCCATCAAAAACAAGTCAAAAATGGTAAAAAGCTTTCAGCCTTGCGGTTCATTGCCGATATCGGCTAACCGGTTCATCACGTTATACGTGTGAATGCTGATAAGCTATGGTAACTTTACCATAGAAAGCTGAGAAGGAGAGCCCTTCAGGTCGCCATGGCCATTTGAGATGAAATGTATCCTACTTACTATAAAGCGCTTCGTCTGTCGTCTGTCGTCTGTCTGTCTGTCTTCCTGATGCCTGGAGGGACCGGGTCAAGTGTGGGATGGGTGGGCAAGGTCTCACGAAGTACAAAACACACATCAGCTAAGCGGAGCCCCGCCCACAGTGGGCGTGGCGTGCATCGAAATGTGTACCAAGATTTCAAATTCAGTCACAAAACAGCCTCGAAACTGGGCCAAAAAGTGGGTAAAGGTGTGCATTGGTAAGCCAGATCGAATTAGGGAGACCCACCCCGGTGGGCGGGGCGTTCTCCAAAAAAGCAGTGCTTTATGAAAAATTTCATAACTCGGTTGGGAGAAAGCCTACAGAGCAGAAAACAAATTGGTGTAGGGGAGCAATGTCCATGGTGTTTCCTGCATACAT